GTCTATTTGAAGCATATTTAAAAACATGAATTTATGTCAAATAATCACTGAATTCTGTGTAGAATTGAGTGAGAAATAGCTATTTTTTGTTTTGTTTACTTTTGTGACAAAAAATGATGAATCATCAAGTGTGACAATACTTATGAAAAAGGCAGTAATGAAAGAAACATCAGCCTGTGGAGACCAAGCTACAGTCTGTCCCATAGTTTTTTCTGCTGTTAACATAATAGCTAGTAGGTGCTCTGTATACCTAGCATTGCTGAAAATTTGTCAGAAAACAATATATGAAATTATTTTGAATATATACTCAATTATATAGTTACTGTAGTCTAGTCCAGGTCTAGTCCAGACAGGTTTTTGCTGGACTGTGAACTGGACCAGGACTGATTTCTTATAAAATCCTGGACCTTGGACTGGACCCAGTTAGACCTCTTGTGAACCAGACCAGCAGTCTAGTCTAGGTCCAAACCTAGTCCAGACCTCTGAACTAATTATATAATATATATTAAAATAATTCTGTCTTATTAACATATTATATGAGATAGATATACTATTAAGTACTATAATAATATGTTTCTGAATATATGTAAGCTTATATGTATCAGAATACAATTACTTTTATTATTTGTATTATACTAAGTGTAAAACACAAGAAGTATTAGTATAATAGAAATCAGTTCCTACAGTTAATGTAAACTGTCATTTACATCTGTAAGACACAGTATAGTCTATTTGTATACTTAAAGGGTATACAATACACTATACAATATATGTAAGAGTAGTTCACATCTATTAGGCTCTGTACAGTCTATTTGTATGTCTTAAAGAAGTAGTATCTATAATATAAACAGTCTACAGTCTGGTCTAGAGTCTAGACAGTCTAAAGCAGTCTGGAAATTTTTGTCAAACACTAGACTGTAGACTGGACCCCTGTTGGACCCAACTGGACCAGACCTCAATCAGACTGGACCTGGTCTACAGTAGTCTTAGACTAGACAATAGTAACTATACTCAATTATACAAATTTCTGTTCTACATTTTACTAAGAGCTACTAGGTAAGGACTTTCATTACTGTCAAAACATTTGACTACAAGTTATTATTGTGTATATTACTGTTGTCCATGTCTTTGATTGTGGTTTCAACTAATTCTATAAAAGGTACATGTTACAAAGTTGTTAATAAATGAGACAGATAGTATTAAAAGCTAATAATGTACATTAACTTGTTTCATTTTGTTCTCTGTATCAGACTTGATCTTGTTTCAGAAATCTAGAAGAGTTGTACTAATATTATCTTTGTTGACATTAATGACACTAAACAATTCAAGTATAGAACATCCAATGTGACTTAGTAACCAGCTCTCTAGACTTATTTCCTTAGTTGTAAAGATGTAGACTAGAGAGTATAGATCTGAGACTGGAGAAAGTAGTGTAGGGGAATCTGAGACTAAAGGTAGTTGTACTAAGGTATTTAGGACTAGAGAGGGTAGTATAACAGAGGACAAGCTAGTAGAAAGTAATACAGAGAAGGATGAGGGCTGTGTTGACAATATAATCTTTAGTAAGTAGAATACAAAGGTTAGGAACAACAAGCTTAGTAGAACAGTAAGAGCAACAGTGATTTAGTAACAGAGTAGTGTGAACAAGAGAGTAAGAAGGAGTAGTAGCATATGTTGTTATTGTCTACAGTAGAGCTGTTACAGAATTATTATTATGAGATGATTAGTTTATCAACAGACAAACCACAAGACAATGACTTCATAATGTCTCAGTTAGAATACATACAATATAAGGATGAGAGACACTGAGCAGTCAATCATCACCTCACCCCTTGTCTATGTGTGCCCCCCTTAAGTTCTCCCTCTCAACAGGTTATGAGCCTTGAGCTCCCTGCATACACACATCCACTATACACTCTAAACTCTTTACTTACATACATTTGCACACATTTGCATTATAGTTCCCCCACATACAGATACACACTGTAAACCAGCCAATGTACCTAAATACTTTGGTCAAAACATTACAATACTTAAGACTGAAGCAAACTACAAGATGTAGCACTACTGTATTGTTTCTAGTGTTGCAGCTACATGCTTCAAACACTTACTAAAGGATGAACTGCAGAACAAAGCTGAGAGGGAGATAGCTAAGGCCATTCATACATGTATAGTCAATAACATTGCTGACACAATATTGGCAAACTATATACACTTCAATATGTCTATCCCTCAGTTAATGAAAGTGCTTGAAGAATGCTTTAACCCCTAGACAGTACATAAAAAGGTTATCAACAAATCAGTACTGTTTATTTGTAGAGACTATGTAAAACATTTTGGACATACATTAGACAGACTTGAGGAAGCATACACAACTCTGTCTGCTAATAGTAATCCACCATGTGACTCTACATACAAAGCAGCAATATTGCTTGCTACTCCTGAGCAATATACACACATAGTAAATACAATAATACAATCTACTGATGCCCAAAACAAAGGCAAACCAGTCAATGAACATAAGAAAGTTGAACTAAAGTAACTAATCCTTGTATTACAGAATGCCTACAACAATTACTGTGCTAAACAAGTACAAGATTCTAATGATTGGACAAAGAATAATGCACACATTAATATAATGTATAAAGCCAATAAGCAGAGGAAATTCAATCTGCCAAATCTGTTCAATCCAACAAAAGCAAAATGTTTCAATTATAGAAAAACCGGACATTTCTCTAAGGAATGCTGCAAACCTCCTACTGAAGCTACAAAGCTTACACACACCAAACATCAGGCTAACATTGTGTATAAAACAAATCAAACTGTGGAAAACATGACAAACACATTTATTATTGAAAACCCAAACAAAAACAATGTTGAATTAAAGGAAAGCAACATTGAAATAAACAATAACACCTACACTCTTATTCTGAGCAACCAGGACAAACAATTCGAACAATATGCTTCCTAGGTATGTACCAATGTATTTACAAATACAATCATAGCTAACAAGAAATCCTATACACAAATGATGGATTTACTCAATTCTGGTGCATCAATACATGCTACTCCTTATCTATTTTGATTAACAGATGTACACAACATAACTCCTACATTGTAACTATTGCAAATAGGTCAACAATGACTC